GTAAGCATATTTATAAACAATACACATTTTTTCTTTTATACAATTAAGACCGTGTCACATACAGTGTTCATGCCTGCAATTCATCATTTACCCCACGCCCCATATTATGACAATGTCCCTTATAGTTGTTCTCAAAGTGCCTGCTGTTTATTTTTTTATAGATTAAAAAAGTGTTTATTCTAATTGGAAATTCAACACATTCATTTACAAAGTTTAGAGAAGTTAGAAATGATTTAATAAGCAAATAATTTACATATTTAAAAATTTTAGGTGCAAGGGGCACCTGGCGGGCTCAGTCAGTGGAGCATGTGACTCTTGATCTGAGGGGTGTGAGTTCGAGCGTGCCCCACCCCCCCGTCTGGGTGTAGAGATTACTTAAAAATAAAATCTTTAGGGGAGCCTGGGTGGCTCAGTCTGTTAAGCGACAAGCTCTTGATTTCAGTTCAGGTCAGATCTCAGGGTTGTGAGATTGAGCCCTGTGTCGGGCTCCATGCTCAGTGGGAGTCGGCTGGAGATTCTTTCCCTCTACCCCTCCCCCCCTTTTCTAAAATAAATAAATAAATCTTTAAAATAAAATAAAATAAAATCTTTTTTTAACTTTTTAAAGATTTTATTTTATTCATTTATTTGAGAGAAAGAGCACAAGCAGGGGAGGGGGAGAGGCAGATTCCCCGCTGAGAGGGGGAGCCCCATGTGGGGCTCGATTCCAGGACCCTGGGATCATGACCTGAGCCGAAGGCAGATGCTTAACTGACTGAGCCACCCAGGCGCCCCTAAAATAAAATCTGTAAAAAATAAATACATAGGGGTGCCTGGCTGGCTCAGTTTGTGGAGCATGTGACTCTTGATCTCAGGGTTGTGAGTTCAAACCCCATGTTGGGTGTGGAGCCTACTTAAAAAAATAAAATAAATATAAAATATAAATTCATTTCAGTTTCGGCTCTTATAATATTTGTATTTCACATAAAAGTGGAATTATTTTCTACAGTTTCTTTTTAAAGATTTTATTTATTTGACAGAGAGCGCACAAGCAAGGGGCAAAGCAGAGGGAGAGGGAGAAGCAGGATCCCTGCTGAGCAGGGAGCCCGATGTGGGGCTCGATCCCAGGACCCCGGGATCATGACCTGAGCCGAAGGCAGATTCTTAACCATCTGAGCCACCCAGGCGCCCCTATTCTCTACAGTTTTATAGAATATTTCTCCATCACGTTATGATCATTACTCATAAGTTTTTGTATTCCCAAAATTATCCAAAAAATAAAGGCTTAAACAGGCTAATCCTATTCTTCAGACCTAATGACTTTTTAACTTAATCAGCAGCCATGATTTAATTCAATCTATGTGTACATTTGTTTCACTTCCTGGATTGATTTCGGAGTTTTTATTCCATTTTTTCTCCCAATGACTTGGAAGTTATGTTTTCTATTTCTATTATTTTAATCTTTATATAGAATTCTTTTCAAACTTAAATTTACCTACATTTTCTTTTAAAAGATTTTCTGGGGCGCCTGGGTGGCTCAGTCTTTAGACTTCTGCCTTCTGCTCGGGTCATGATCCCAAGGTCCTGGGATCAAGTCCCACATTGGGCTCCTTGCTCAGCAGGGAGCCTGCTTCTCCCTCTCCCCCTGCTTGTGTTGCCGCTTCTCACTGTGTCTTTGTCAAATAAATAAATAGAAATTAAAAAAAGATTTTCTTTTATTTTTTAAAAAATTTTAAAGATTTTTATTTATTTATTTGTCAGAGAGAGAGAGCATGAGCAGGGGTTAGAGGCAGAGGCAGAGGGAAAAGCAGACTCCCCAGTGAGCTGGGAGCCCGATGTGGGGACCTGAGCCAAAGGCAGATGCTTACCCGACTGAACCACCCAGGTGCCCCAAACCTATATATTTTTTAAAGATTTTATTTATTTATTTGATAGAGACAGAGAGAGAGG